TTTAATGTTTAAAAACATGCAATGACTGTTTTTGTCTCAGTTTTGCTGGCTAGTACTCATGCTAAGTATTCAGAACAATATGTTTTCATGCCTTGTCTGAACATTCTGTAATTACAATTTTTTGAATACCAAAATTTAGTTTTCACAAATCAAATCCACATAATTGTTCCATTTTTTTTTAAAAATTATGATTGATACTATTGTAACCAATAAGAAATAATGTACACTTGGTCCAAGATGAATGAAATTCTAAATAAATGTCTTAAAATATACAAAAGGGAAAAAGTATTGTAAAAAGTATCTATTGTGAATACATGTATTGCAGTTAATTGCGATGTTTGTTTTCTTCATCAGAACATGCGGTATCTTGTATTGCATCTATAGTGAGAAATTGTACAGGAGCGCATAGACAAAGGCTTTTAGGAAAATTCACTGAAAATGACCACGCCAAAGTGGACAGACTCATGGAATTACATTTTAAGTATCTTGAGAAAGTCCAAAGCTGCGATGACCAGATTGAAAAAGAAAAACAGGTCAGTGTTGCCTTGGCTACTCTTGGTATTTTTTGTTCAGCGAGAGTTTGTTATTAAAGTCAGCAAGATGCGATTCCACTTTGCTGTTCATCATGATTGAAGCTGTTAAAGAAACACAGGACAAATCGTTTTCAAGGCCTGGACTTGAACTAACAATCGCATTCATAATAAAAGGTGAAGATGTGATAGATCTGCTATAGTGGATGGCATTTGTGTTTGATAGTGGTTAGCCATTCTGCGATAATTATGTATCTTTGTGAAACATTTCCTGGAATAATTAATATTTTTGTAAATAATTTCGGCATAAGTTTCATGATATCGTGTCATTTGCGGCGGTCCTGGATTTACATGATTCATTGTAACCAGCAACTGTAGTGTCTGTTGTGGTTAGCATGAATGAGTAAGCTCTGTTTTAACAATGAGCTTTTATCTTTGTTGTTAAAATATGAAATCTATCTTTCAACGCTGTCACTGTGTACCTTTCGCTTCTTTAGAAATATCCCTCTGTTCAGATTGTAGCAACTTTTTGTTCCATGTATTCAGTCTATACCGATTCTTCTGTCCCTACCAGTACAATCTCATAATCCATGTTGACAAATGAAAATTATTTCATGAAGTTCAAATACTTAACATTGAATGTTGTCTCCCCTAAATTTTGTTGTTAATATATTCATTATCTTCAAGAGAAATGAACATAAACTAAAAATTGCATAGATTGTGTATTTCATTGAAATATGTCTCACTTTGACTATAGACTTCACAACATACCAGTTAGTACATGTGCTTTTAATAGAGCGAATTTGATAGTGTATTTTGCCACAGAAACCATATTTCATGTTTAGAGCTAATATACACTTCTGTTCGACTATCTTCCTTCTATAATGGCGTTATGATGATTTAAAGCGAAAGGGTCGTCACCTGCGCACACGCGAGAATTGAGTCCCAAGCGATGATAACAACACATGCTGAGAATGCAAAGGCTCATGGGTAGACACTTGTTTGTAAACAATGACACGCTATGGCCATCTGACGCATGCGCAGGTGACGACTCCCCCCGCTTTAATGCCCTGTTCTTGCAACGACTAGGTCAAAGGTTTATAGTCCTTCCAAAGAGCAAACCTTAACCAAGATTCCTCTAAAGTCGCACCCTGTTAGTTAATGAATATATGCATTGTTCATTATTATACAGAAAATACGTCAGCGTGGTGAGGATGTCGACGATGACATGGAGGATGAGTTTTATCTGCGTCGTTTGGATGCAGGTTTATTTACGCTGCAACTAGTTGACTACACTATGATTGAAATCTGCCAAGCTGGTATACCGTCAATAAAACAACGTGTTCTACAAATACTGAATCTCAGAGGGGGATCTGTTACTGCCATTAGGAATGTTGTCAGAGGTAATGTCTTCTATTTTGCCATCACTTACTGTAAAATTCACCATGTTTTCACTTTCTTATCTCCACTGATAATCTTGATTTATGGTAACTGAAAATATTCAATTATTGTAAAAAACAAAATAGTGACTTGCTCTTGCATATCAAGGTATTCAATCTAAAGCACTGACTGAAATTATTTTGGCAGCGCCCTCTGTAGTAAAGAGTGGTTTTTACTTTGTTTTAGTTTATTTTGTATGTTTTGACCATGGCACAATTTGTAACCCAGCAAATATGCCCAAACATTCGGACTAACTTTTTTACAGTATTTTCAACTTTATGGTCTGTATTTCTCATTATGGATTTCTATTTTAAGCCTTTCTTGATGATTTTATTTGTTCCACCACCTTGGCCATGAGTTAAAATTTGTTCAAATCATCTTTCCATATTTTTTCATACTCGTAGCTGAGAGTTAACGCATTCAATAATTCTCCCCAGGAATCAATGGCTACACAGAATACAGTTGAAATTGGCACCCAATAACATTTGTACCAAATAAAAAATAAAAGGCATAGTAATTTTTAAAAAATGTGCTTGTGATGTAAATTTTGTCTGTTAGTTCCTCTCAGATGTTAAATTCCTCCTGAATACACTTTTTATGGTTGTTGTGTTATTTCTGCAGAGTATGCTGGTAATATTGGTGATGCCAAAAGTAAAGAGAGTGCCGAAGCTGAGAAGCAAAGACTTCTTGCATTGGTGGACAAGTTTTGAGTTCAGTGGTTCATATGCTGTGCTGCCCTCAGGTGTTCGTCTTCTGTGCTGCCCTCAGTGGTTCATCTACTGTTCTGCCCTCGGCGGTTCATTCGCTGTGCTGACCTCAATGGTTTGTCTACTGTTCTGCCCTCAGTGGTTCATTCGCTGTGCTGCCCTCAGTGGTTCATCCGCTGTGCTGCCCTCAGCGGTTCATCTGCTGTGCTGCCCTCAGCGGTTAATCTGCTGTGCTGCCCTCAATGGTTTGTCTACTGTTCTGCCCTCAGTGGTTCATTCGCTGTGCTGCCCTCAGTGGTTCATCCGCTGTGCTGCCCTCAGCAGTTCATCTGCTGTGCTGCCCTCAGCGGTTCATCTGCTGTGCTGCCCTCAGCGGTTAATCTGCTGTGCTGCCCTCAATGGTTCGTCTACTGTGCTGCCTTCAGCGGTTCATTCACTGTGCTGACCTCAATGGTTCGTCTACTGTTCTGCCCTCAGTGGTTCATTTGCTGTGCTGCCCTCAGTGGTTCATCCGCTGTGCTGCCCCTCAGCAGTTCATCCTCTGTGCTGCCCTCAGCGGTTCATCTGCCGTGCTGCCCTCAATGGTTCGTCTACTGTGCTGCCCTCAGCGGTTCATCTGCTGTGCTGCCCTCAGCGGTTAATCTGCTGTGCTGCCCTCAATGGTTCGTCTACTGTGCTGCCTTCAGCGGTTCATTCACTGTGCTGACCTCAATGGTTCGTCTACTGTTCTGCCCTCAGTGGTTCATTTGCTGTGCTGCCCTCAGTGGTTCATCCGCTGTGCTGCCCCTCAGCAGTTCATCCTCTGTGCTGCCCTCAGTGGTTCATTTGCTGTGCTGCCCTCAGTGGTTCATCCGCTGTGCTGCCCCTCAGCAGTTCATCCTCTGTGCTGCCTTCAGCGGTTCGTCTACTGTGCTGCCTTCAGCAGTTCATTCGCTGTGCTGCCTTCAGTAGTTCATCAACAAATTTTGGTTCTTATACGCCTATAGACCACTTTCCCGGAAGTCGAAGATACGGCGTTTTGCATGCGCGTGCATGTCGTTTTGGGGTGTAACGTAAACTTGCGCGCGTGATATTGTGTTTCTGGGTGTACCAATCGACGTAACAAATTTAAAATAAAATTTCCTTCTATCGACTATCAGCAAACTGACTTATTCGTATTTTCCGCCATGACAAAGCAGGAATATTTTTGCACCCCAGTTTTGCTACTTCCGGGAAAGTGGTCTATATTGGAGATGCACTTCTAATGAACACTTTTTTTTAGCTGGAATTAATTTTTGCTGAAAAGACTTTTTGGGTGTTTTGTATGGAATTTATTTTCACTGATTTTTTGACAATGTAAAATATAGGAAGAAAGGTATATTCGCTGGATTTTATTTTCACTGAATCATTCCTTCAGTGAAAACACCGAAAATTAATTCCAAGCGAAAATAAAGTATTTTACAATACTTACTTTATTTATCAAAATGCGTTATCCAAAAAAGTATAAACCCACTTTAAAATACTCAATGATGTCACCTAAATATTTTCCTTGTACGAACGAACCATCATTTCTGTTTTATTGGTTGCTATGTGTGTATATCATGATAAAGAATTCCTGACACATGGTCGTACCAATGAAACCAAAAATGTAGATTGAATGGTATAAATGTGACAGATGAACTCCTGGTATTTAATGCACTTTACCAATTCAAGGAACACAAGGTGATACGGAAGATACATGACTTTATATTTCCACAACTCTTATTTATTGTGTGCATAGATCTCTGAATTTTTGTACCTGAGCGCCATCAAGGGATGATGACCTCGGTAAGTTCATTGTAATCTGTTCTGTAACGACGATAATGCCTGCAATGGTCATGCTTCTTTGATAATAAAATTGACATTCCAAAACAACTGAGACATTGTACAGTTTTATTATTTCATGTAAAATACCGTATAATCATTTATTTTCACTATTTTAATGCTTTTAGCATATTCACTGTGTTTTAATATGACGAATTCGTCAAAGAAACAATGAGTTTTATTGTTATTTTACATGTTTATGTGGATTTAATTAAGCAGATTTTACTAATCAGCGAAAATAGCGAAATTAAAACCCAGTGAATAATTAATGCATTTACAGTAAGTTACTAAAATGTTTACAGTCTTTTATAAGACTGCTTGATTACCATGTTCATATTAATTAGCTAATTTGCATACTAAATGAATACTTCCCATATCTTAAACATTTGTTTTGAATGGCTTGAAACTTAGTGTATTCCTTGTGTTGTGACATGATACTTGTTTGGAATACCGATCTGTGCATTTCAAAGATTTTAACAGTTTGCTCAAATGGATTGAAACTACCGGTAAGTAAAATCTGTTTGTGTAGATAAATGATTGACAATAGTTTATAATAGTCTGCAGTTTATGAAGCTAATTTGGATATGGGGGGTAATTAAATTTACCTATCACCAGATGTTGTTCTGTGTCGCACGAGTACAAGAATAAAAAAAAACGATTCATAATAATAATGATGAACTTTCCTGGACCAGAACAAAATTTCATTAGGCGGGTGTCTTTCCCTTATGAGTTAAACTGCTCATTTAAGGTAGAGATGCAGTTTACCCGACAGGTATTTTAATTAGTTAATTAGGAAACCAAGATGACCTCCCTTGTCCACAAAACTGTATATTTTCGGAAAGATTATTGTATGAATTTTGAAATTTTTTAAGTATTTTTTTTTTATGGACACTAGTTTGAAATATGGACAAAAATGTGCTTTTTTGGTCAAAGGTGATTTTTAAATAAAAAATAGCTTCTAAACCAGGGTTCTGATTCCTGTCAAACTTGGTTTATGGGTGCATCTGTTTACTATGAAGACAGTGTCGTTTTGATAACTGTCTACCAGTTGTCTATTTTGCAGGGCAGCAGCTCAAATTTCACTACTTCAAGTTTATGCATAAATTAACACCCAGGCTAGTTGTCTGTGCAATTGTTGTAACACTGTTCAACCAAAAACAATGCCCCAACGGCGTTTTGAAGATAAACACATTGTCAATCATTTGTGAAAATTTCAAAACAAAAGGTCAAAGCGTCTAGGACCTATTTTTTTTTTTAAAGTTCTTGGATGTCACTAAAAAGAAGCTGAGATAATTGCTAATTTGCATAACCATTCACTCGGTAAGAAGTTTGCTAATGCTCATAATAAAAATGGCTGTTACAGTTTCAAATTTAAATGTATTATCGTTTTGTTAAAAGTTAAATATAGTGCATAATATTTATATTTTTTTTCACTATGTTTCTTTTTTATTATTTTTGTACAGCCTTGCTAAATCTTGCTAAGCATTCAAAAGTGAGAATGTTTGCACCGGTTATCTATTGAGTATGTCCCACTATTCAAAATTCTACAAAATGTTAACAGTCTAGAGCCAAGATTGTTTGGATTATAAAAAGCAAAAAATAAAAATTTCACTCCCAAGTGCCCACGAACCTGCATCTCTACCTTAATTTCCAAACTTAGCAATTAGTTGACACACACGAGTATTCTCAGTTCATGTCCGATTATGTAGGGATTTGGTCAGTCGAGTCAGCAGCTAGATGTAGTCTCGCTTTCACCGCCGTGGAGGGCGCACCTCACATGGTACATGACTTACTAAGTATCCGAAATGTTTTTTTTTTATACCAGCCAAATTATACAGTTGCCGCAAGTCATAGTTTGTATATTCCATTCGGCTATCTATTCATGTTTCTTTTATTTTTTTGTGTATTCAATCACGTTAACCCGATGTACATATTGA